CATTAGTCATGTGATGAGTAGCTCCTGTATGTGGATACCAAAGAGAATCATGGAGAGTAGAGGAATATGCATAGTGAGCAGTAATGGAAGGTGGTGGAGGAGCTTATAGTGCTTGGTTGTAGTGTTGGTTGCAAGCATGAGCAATATGGCTGTAATGGCCATAAAGTTGGCAAGGGACAGCATTGTTAGGCTAAAAAGTAAAGAAGCGGCCTATGTCATGATGAAAAGAACAACCACGAGCTCTATACAGATAGCCTTTGTTTCCTCTGCCATGAACAGAGGAACTGTATGATTGTCGGCCATTACCTCAATCACCATGAAAATATTAATAACTTAACAGAAGAGATTGATAAACAGCATTAATAGTGATTTTGGTTGGAAGTTAAATGGAGTTTTGGGGAGACATGTGTGCTTCGAAGGTGAGGAGATGACTTAAGATTTCCTCAATAGTGAGAAAGTGGTGTTGGGTGGTAATAGAGGTGACAATGGTGTTAGACTTAGAACCATGTCCAGCAAGTGAGTAAGTGATAAATTCATCATTCGCCACTGATTTTCTTGCAGCTACAAGAGAATCAGCTAAAATAGTTATGCGTTGGTGATATTCTGAAATAGATTCTCCTCCTTTCTTGATAATGGTAATCTGTTGGTAAAGATGAACAAGATGAGCTTGAGTTTGTTAAGAAAAGAGAATGTGAAGGGCTAGCCATAAGTTACGAGAAGTTTTATGATGAAGAACTTAGGGAATGAGTTTCTCAATTGTGGAGGCAATGAGAATGGAAAGGACTAGTTGATCCTATTGAAACCACTAAAGATAGTCATTGTTAGGTAAACTAGTGGGAGTTTTTACTGGAGGTGAGGGTATGGAACTATCAATATAATCGAAGGGTTGCTAACCATACAAGTAAGGCATGATTTATGCTTTTCAATGAGATAATTATCCTTAGTGAGCTTAACTGTAATAAAATGATGAAAGTTGCTGAGAGAAAAAGTGGATGATAGTTGGTTTGGAGGTGGTAGTATTGTTCCAGTAGTGGAACCAATAGGAGGTGGAGTACTAGCCATCGAGATAGCTCTACAGCTCTGATACCATTTTTAAATGGAAAGAGAATTGAACAGATTGAAAATGTATGTATTTCTCTCTTGATGAACAGTAAATACAAGTGTACTAATATATAAGAAGATGGAAGCAATACAAGTATTGTAACACACCAAATTTTTTTTTAAATAATTTAACTCAACCATAGTTAGGTTACAGCCACCCAACACATTCTTATATCAATAATTTCAATATAAAATATTTTATAATTGGCTTCAACTCACACACTATAACATTTCGGATAAATTTTTACCTCCCACATGCCATTAGGCTAAATCACATTTGTCCATCCTTATACTCCCAACAAGTAAACTAAATCACATTTGTCCATCCTTATACTCCCAATAAGTAAAATAAGCAATTTAGTCAATTTTCAACACAAGCCAGTTATTTGGCCTTATAATCATGCCATTTTAACCAATCCAAAGTAAACCAAATATTAAAATTACAGTCATCCAAATTTTACCAAAAATAGAAATAGTTTGAAAGGCATGATTACATTTATATATTCATATAATTGACAATAAACAAAAAGCCTTAATATTGGCAATATAACACATTATAAATCATAAATTAAATACCCAAAAGAGACAGTGGATCTATACCACTAAGCCTCTGGGACTCCTCCACGTGTCACTCGTGGCTCTTCTCTTGAAAATTGTTAACCACATAATGAGACTCAAAAGTCCCAGTAACCAAAGCCAATTTATGATAGTGTATACAAACAGTTAAGTGTGTACTTATTAAGTGAAAATTAAAAATAATATAATTCCAACAAATATAAGAAATATTACAATACACACAAACAACCATTCTTATATCCCTCCATTAACCTTGAGCCGTATCCCTCACTCGGTGCTAAATTACCCGGCCAAAGATAGATTAGCCCGAACCCTTACAAACCACCTATTGAGCTCCAATAGGGGCGTACCACGTGGCACATAAATACAACAATAATAGCAAGTCTTCCAACACCTCCCACAATAATTAAACAAATTCATAATAATATTGCACAATTATACAATATTACAAAATTCATAATTTTCTCAATAATCACCCAATTAACAAGAAGTAACACTAATTACAAATTAAAAGCATGGTTACCTTGTGGCTTTTTCAATAAATTATTCCTTAAAATTTCTCTCTCACCACAATCTTCACCAGTAATACAATCTACAAATAACATATTATTTATAAATATTAGTTTCAATTTTTGAAACTAATAAAATAATTCTAATAATAGAATTAAAAATATAACATAATTTCTAATCTCAATCTTAATACAAATCTATAGTTAATACTATTAAGTATAATTTTTAACTCCTCTTTTAATTATCAATAAACATTAATAATCTAAAAATCAACTTCTAAACTAATTTCTATTATCAAAATTTTCTTTTTATTTTATAAATTCGCACCTAAAATACTCAAAAATTAAAAATTGAGTCTCTAGCTTAGAATCATAATCCTATAGCCATAATAATTCATTTCTCATCCCAAATAATCATCTAAACCTCAATAAATCAACATATATTTTCAGATCTAGTTTAGAATTTGATCCATAAGCCATAAATTCAAAAATCATTAACAAATTTATACTCTATAACATTTATTATACTACTGACAACCTCAAAAACCATATTTATTCAACATAAATTCATCCCTCTTCCAGATCTTAAATTTTCTACCACTACAAACTCAGAAACCAAAGAAGAAGGATGACTAAGAAAATTTTTAGAACACTTACTTAGTCTTGAAAAGCTTAAAATCACACCCTAAATATCCTATTAAAAACTCTTACCTTAAAAATTTAGATATTTCGCACCGGTGACTCGCGTTCTCTCTGCCTCAGCACGCGCGAAGGAATGAATGAGGAAATGAAGGAAGGTGAGTTTTTATAAAAATTCAGTGGGTCCCACACATTTTTTTTATTCTTTTCTCTCTCTTCTTTCTTCTTCTTTTCTTTTTTTTATTATTTTATTTTACTATTGTTACTATTGAGGCGGCGGCACGTTTTCTTCCTTCCTTTTTTTTTCAAACCTTTTCCTTTTTTTTATTATAATAATAATTTAATAATATTTTTTTTATTTTTTTATTTTTTTTAAAATTTTTTTTTAGAATTATATCCTAAGTTAGATTTAATAATCATCTCTTACTAATTTTCTTACCTCTAAATATTATTTTTTTATTAACCCAAATTAACTATTAAAATTTAAATTGGGATGTTACAAGTATGACATGACAGTCTATGTGTGATGCAAATCATGTGACTAGAATAAGACTACATATTAGACAAGAAGAAGAAAAAGCAAATAGCTCTAGTCACGTGATTTGCATCACACATAGGTTGTTCTAGATTGTTCTACTTGCAACGCGTGTCATACTTGTATTGCTTCCATCTTCTTATATATTAGTACATTTGTATTCACTGTTCATCAAGAGAGAAATACATACATTTTCAATCTATTCAATTCTCTTTCCATTTCAAAATGGTATCAAAGCTGTAGAGCTATCTTGATGGCTAGCACTCCATCTCCCACTGGTTCCACCACTGGAACCAAACTGCTACCTCCAAACCAACATCATCTACTTCTTCTCCCACCAACTTTTATCATTTTATTAAATTTGAGGATATAATATTGTTATTGAGCGAAACATTTATATGGACCAATCATATGTGCTCTTTCACATTACAAAAATGGCCATCTTCACATTAACTAATCTTTTTTGATGTAACAACATATGTCAAAAATATATTTGAAAATTTGTTGGTCACATTTTAGTTAAAAAAATTAAATTTTAAAGGCACACTTTTAACAGACAAAATATTTTAGGAGGAATTACATTGTAGGCCTTAAAAGATAAAAAATTACAATTTAGGCCTAAAAAATTTTGAAAATGCATTGTAGGCCTAAGGACCCTTGTTGCCATTTTTCTTGGGAGCAAAAGTACAAGTTTTTCCTTGTGTAATTTGAAAACTCATCCACGAAGCACAAAATAATGTTCATAAATTCTCAACACGATGTTCATAGATTCTTAATATAATGTCTTTGCATATCTAGTTGATATATAGGTTAATTAAAACATAAGTTACACAAAGCATGTACACACATAACATACATGGATATATAATACGATGGTCATGAATTCTCAATACAATTAAAATAGTCATACAAAGCGTGTACAATACAATATTCATGAGTACACAATACAGTGTTCATATATTCTTAATACAATGTCCATAAGTGTCCAACTGTTATGTAGGTTAATTAAAACATAAGTCACACAAGGCTTGTACAACACAATATACATGAATACACAATACGATATTTATAAATTCTCAACACAATTAAAATAGTCGCTCAAAGCATGTACAATACAATGTCCATGAGTATACAACACGACGTTCATGTATTCTCAATACAATATGCATAAGTGTCCAGTTGATCTATAGGTTAATTAAAATAGTCACGCAGAGCTTGTATAACACAATGTCCATGAGTACACAACATAATATTCATGAATTCTCAATACAATATTCATAAATTCTCAACATAAAGTCTATGAATATCCAGTTAATCAATTGATTTAATAAAATATACAAGTTACATAGATAATGTATAACACAATATTTATATATGTATAATATAATGTTTATGAATTCTCAACTGAATGTTCATGTACGTTAAGTTGATTAAGGATAAAATTATACTTTCACCTTTAAAAAAAATTGCAAGAAAAGCTTTTAAACCTGTGTAATTTTAGAATTTTTTGAACCTACGGTGCAATTTTTTCAGTTTTTAGAGCCTACAGTGTGATTTATCCAATACTCTATTCCCATCCAGACAGACAGGTGGCCGTGCGCTCATCTATTATTTTAGCGCAACCCCTTCTCGGTTCTTAGAATGGAACCTTCGCTTCCCATTCTTCCTCTCACTCTCGTCTTGTCGCTCGCGTTTCATTCCTCCTTTTTTCTCTGCCCTCTGACTCCGTCTTAACAAAATCAAATAATCAATCCTTCTTACTTAAAAACAAAACAAACAAAGGAAGAAAATCAAACCCTTCCCCTCCCAATCCTCTTTCTCATTGTTTCTCCCGTTTCGGCAATTCATCTCGGTTGCCTCCCCCTCATGGGTCCTGATTCTCCAGCTTCACTCGCTCCCGGCTTCCGATTCCACCCCACCGACGAAGAACTCGTTCGTTACTACCTCAGGCGCAAGGTCTCTGGCAGATCCTTTCGCTTCGACCCTATCGCCGTCATCGACATCTATAAATCCGAACCCTGGGACCTCCCGTGTTAGCCCTCTTCCCCTCTTCTCTTCTTTCTTGTCTCTAGGCTCGATTTTGTCTCCCTATCTATTTAATAACTATTCAATTCTATCTGACTCGTCGTTCTTCTATGCTGGGTTTCGCCCTTCCGGATATGATCATTTCTGAGCCTCTTTTCCCTTTTTCTATTTCCCCCTTGTGGTGCTGTTTTAGGTCAGTCGAAGCTGAAAAGCAGGGACTTAGAGTGGTACTTCTTCAGTGCGCTGGACAAGAAGTATGGAAATGGGTCGAGGACGAATCGGGCCACTGAGAAAGGATACTGGAAGACTACGGGCAAGGATCGCCCGGTTCGACACAGCTCTCGTACCGTTGGAATGAAGAAGACCCTTGTTTATCATGGCGGGCGGGCGCCGCGCGGTACCCGTACTAACTGGGTCATGCACGAATACAGGTTGGCTGATGAAGAATTGGCAAAGGCAGGAATACAGCAGGTGGCTTAACCATTTTGTTATCTGTTTCGCTTTTTTTTTTTTGCATCAATCTATTTTTTCTTTGGTATACATTTTGAACTAAACTAACAATTTGGTCCTGTACCTTTAGCCCCTAAAATTCAAATTTGTACAAGTTAGTTCTCGAATTCTGACCATTTAGTCTGTAAGTTCTGGGGAATAACTCATGGCATCAGAAATTCTTAAAGGAATGAAACTAAATGAGTATAATAATTCCGATCTAAATTGTCATCTTACCCTACCTTTTCTATAAGGCTTATTATGTGTCGATTGTAAATATTTTTCTTTCTTGGGTGGAGAAGGATGCGTTTGTGCTCTGTAGGATTTTCCATAAGAGTGGCACTGGGCCAAAGAATGGGGAGCAGTATGGTGCCCCCTTTATAGAGGAAGAATGGCAAGATGATGATGTTGCTGTGGCTCCACTGCTCGGTGATGAGGCTGCAACTGATGAAATAGTGGTTGGTGATGATGCTTTTGTTGAAACGGATGACCTTGACCAGGTCTGTTCTCTATTTCAAGCCTATCGCTACTGTGTGGAAAAGTCTTTTGGTTGCCTGTTCGGAGAAGTTTTCCATCATATCAGTTGGAAATATAATTGTAAATATATTCATTTTATGGCATCTGACTTATGTCTGCTCCTGTTTTAATTTTTATATACCCTTCTTGCCAGCAAGAGATATCTTTATGTAACCCACACAATATCAGCATGGCATGTAACGTGGAATAATTTTAATTTTTTTTTAGGTTATTACTTATTAAGAGTAATGTCCCTGAAAGCTTTTGGCTCCTGATGTATTTCCTGTATTTTATCATTGCTGCTGCTGTTTAGATAACTCATCTTAAAACTTTTATTGCCTAAATGACTAAATCTATCTTATTTTTTCTTTTTCTGTGTGTGTATATATGTAGCAATCTACTCTGTAACTTCTAGGTTAAACTTATCTATATTATCTTTTAGAAAATTTGTTTCGCTGTAGCTGCTACTTATAAGGTAAGTAATTAGTAGGCTCACCTAGAGCCGCCTTTTCTCTCATAAATTTTAAAAGCATATTGAGAAACATAAATGTGAATTATATTAACTTGACTATGAAGTGAGCAAGCCGGTTGTCATATTTATTTCCTTTTTCCTTTATACAATATTTGTCATCGCTTATGCTTCTTCAACATATCTCTCTCTTTTTTTTGAAGTTATCTTACTCGCATGATTAGTTTCTCTAATTTCAGAAATTGCTTTGTATTACCAGTGCCTTGACATGGGTGTGGCATCTGAACGTGCTGATCATGCATTAAACTTCTATTATGGGGAGTGTAGCAGTTATCCTGAGCATTGCCAAGAATTGATTGCAGATCAGAAGCCCTTGGTAGGAACTGCTGAAACTTATGAGCCTCGAGATGACCTTTTATTGAATAAGCCTGAGCAACTTGCTTTGGATAGCAAACTAGTGAAAGATGGCATCAAGGCTGAAGCAAGTCATGAAGGATGTTTCTTGAATCACAATTACACATTTGATGAGACATACTTGGATGCTACTGATACTCTTCTTGCCAGTAATGGATCATTCCTGGAAACTGCTGATCTGGTGAATCCAGTTGAGGCAAATCCTGCTGAGACAGGTGCAGCTGATGCTGATGTACTAGAGTATCTTACGTACTTTAATGACAGTGATGATGTTTCTCAGTATATCTCTTTCGATTCTCCTGGGTTGGCAGGGAGTGAATACCCTGAAACTGACCAAGGACCACCTTTAACCCAACTGGTAAGGGCATTAGATTTCTATTGTCAGAGGCCTTACTGATGTCTTTTTCATAGCATATATTAAACTCTTGTACTCACTGACAGAATATGGGCGAAGAATCCAAGAATATTCTCATGGCAAGTAAAATTGATGTGGAAGCCCATTCTAGTGAAGAAGCTTCTTATTTGAAGCAGCGTCAGGAGGCATCGAAATTGGTGTCAGGTGAGAAACTAGTTTACCTAGGACTCCTAACGGCCGGTTATTTTTTCTTGTGCATGTGCGCCTATGAATCACAAAATAATGAGAACTTGTAAACTGAGTTTATCCCTATTGTTTCAGTTTCATATTTCTCTTGAACTGCTTGTAATATGGTGCGGCTATTCGGTATTTTGTTTGGCAGGAAATACATACCCATTTATGAAGCAGGACAGTCACTTGTTGGGCAGCATCCCTTCTCCCCCTGCATTTACTTCTGAGTTTCCTCCTAAAGAAATTGCTCTTCGTCATCATTCCACAGGTCAATGTTCCAATTCAGCTCATGTAACTGCTGGCATGATCAGAATAACAGACTTCACTGTAAGAGGCAACAGGTTGGACTGGATGCTGGGCAAAAATGGAGAGTTCAGTGTTGTAATCTCATCCTGCTTTTGGCCTGATGTTAACCCTGTTGCTTTAGTGCCTATTTCTGGTTTACTCTCTGGGAAGTCTGCATTTGTTGTGTCACACGGCTGGATTTTCTTGGTCTTCTTTTCAGTGCTGATTCTTTCACTGAGTTTCAAGGTTGGAAGTTTCATGTATCCCAGTAAATGACAAATCCGTAGGCTTGTTATGATACAATGGGCTGCATTTAGTAAAGCGACCTCTGATGCTTATGGGTGTGTTCCTATTGGAGGACTAGGATTAGGAATGACCCTGTAGATTTGTCTACTTCAAATATAGTAGGAAGAATGACAATTTATGAGGCTTGAATGACAAAAAAACAGAATTTTCGTGGAAGATCGGAAGATACTCTTTTGTTTGTATCTTCTAAAGTATTACAAGTTCTTTGTAAAATCAAACTTCAAGAAGCATGAATGGTGAGTACAAAAACTAATGTATGTTATGTTTAGATTAGTGGAGATTTGCGTTTGGACTAAACTCGTAATTTTGATGGATAAAATTTTATGGACTTGGATTTTATTTAAATCAAACAATTTTTTTTTAAAGAATTTTAGATTCCTAATCTATCCTAATTATTTCATATCTAAATCATTCTTTGAATACTATTCAAATATGTGAACAAGTCACGTCAAGAGGACTACTCATTTTTATTGGTGGCTCTTTTTACACTACTTAAATATAATTATATATATATATATATATATATATTAAATGTGAGATTTTAAATTTTAAATTTAAATATAAATTCTGCTCTAAAGCTTCTAAATATTAATTTCATAAAATACATAATGAGTTAGATCTCATATAAGAAATTTATTTTGTATATATCATATATCATATATATTGTAAAGTGCTTCTATGGTGGGATGAACCGTAAATTACTTTAAAAAAATATATTATTTTATGCTTTTAGATATCTGTGGGCCTGCAATATAAAAACAGCTAAATATGTGTAAGACTTATAATGAAAAAATAATGGCAAATGTGAGATTCGTAGAAATAACGTGAGATTCTATCTTGTGGTACTTATATTTTTTATATGCATAAAATAACAATGAAAAAATGTTTGTCCCACAATAAATCTATAGTGAGATAAATTTATAAGAGCAATAAGTGATAGATCTAATCATCTTTATTGGCAATAAATTTTATTCTTCATTTAAACTTAATAGTAAATTTATTTTTTAATTTGATTTCAAAATTTTTCTCATATTAATTAAAAGAAGAGTCTGTTGGCCCAAACAAAAAAGAAAAAAAGAAAAAAGAATAGCACAAGTATGGGAGACCAGTATATTCATCTCCAAGACAACTTATTTAAAACAAAATAAGTTATTATTTATATCTTTAATATGTATACACAAAATAAAAATAAAAATAAAATTAATTATAATTAGACTAAAATTATTTTTTATTTTCTTATTTCTATTTTATTTTTATCTTTTAAAAATTAAAATATCTTATACATCGTACGATGAATAAATTTAGTTTTAATTTTAAACAATCAACCATACCTTTTCAGGCTTTCAGCCAAGGATTTGTTTCAACTTTCAAGATATAGGGAGAATGACACCAAAACCCATGGAAGGAAATCAATCATTTTACAGGCCCATAAAGTTTTAAAATTATAGAAAAGGATCGAAGTTTTAAAAAAGAAATAAATAAACCAAAATGCTCATACTTATTTGACACATAACTCAATCGCAAATGGAGAAAGAAGAGTTACAAATTGAGGAGGCACAATTATAAATAAGTTATAAATTGTTGAAGTTTTGTAAATCTTGGATCAGTTGCAAATGTTTAAAACTCAGTCATAAAATAGCATAGGATTGACTGCAAATCACTTGTAAATAGTGGAAGTTTTAGAAATCTCAAAAAATTAATTTACAACTCATTTTAACCAATCTTCCATTGTCTAAAATTGAGCTTGAATAAATATTTATATTTGCAATTGAGGTTTTAAGATTTACAAAAGTCAAACGATTTATAATTCATTTACAAACAATAAATCTTCCTGGACTTGTAATTGAGATTCTGCTATTTGAACTCATTGTCATTTGCAATTATGCCATGGCTCAACTATGTAAAGGCATTCAAGGTCAAAAAACTACATAAAGGCATTTTTCCTATTTACTTCTTTTTAAAACATTTGTTCTTATATATAATTATTCGTGATCCTTTATAATCAGTAATTTTTCTTCCATGATCTTTACGTGTCTTTCTCCATATAAAATAATAAGAATTATTATATATCTAGAATATAAAATAAAAGGGAAGAACTGAAGGTTAATATTAATTGAACTTCAAAAATGAAACAATACAATTGAATTTTATATGCAAAGCTGTGTTTATATATTCAAGTTAGGCTGAGATGAAATGTCCTGATGGTCATCCCATATCTTGAAGGGACATGGATGGGATGATAAAGATCAAGGAAAAGTGACAATTATGGACCCGTTGAGATAATTGACTGTGATCCTTACTTAAAATTAAAAACATATATGAGTTTATAAAATTGCTTTCAAGTATTGAAGTTAATATTATGGGTTGGGAATCTCAATTGAAAAAATCAAGATTCACACTTGGGGATGAGATTAATAATAATCCCAACCCATAATAATAATCTCAGTGATCCCAACTCATAATATTTAAAAATTAAAATTAACAATAGTCTCAACCTATGATAGTGATTTCAGTAATGTCTTTTCTTAATTTTTTAAGTAGTTTACCTATATATTAGATAAGCATAATAATTTACAAGTAATTGACTCCAAATTCAAAAGTCACTTTGATAAATTTTCAAATGACTATCATATATTCATATATAAGTGCCTCTCTAACGTTTCACAAATAAATTTCAGTTTCATACTAGAAAACAACCCATTGTGAATCTTGATTTTCTCAACTAAGATAAGCAATAATAACAAAAAATCATAGTAATTTCAATAGTTTTTTTAAATTTTTCAAGGATAATTTTGCAAACTCATATATATTTTAAATTATAAATAAGAACCATGGTCTGTTACTTTTTTTTTTAATAATCATGATCTGTTATTGAAATTTTAATAATTCAAGATCTCTAATTATAATTAATAATCTTATAAGATCTTTAATTGTCATTTTTTTCAAAGATCAAGTTTCCATGTACTCCTCTAAGTTTTATTAGGATCTCATGCCTCTTAAGATAAACTTCAAGTAGGATGCCTAAGAATTACTTCCCCCATTCAATACTATAAAGAATTTTTAATCAAATTATGCTTCTCAATGAGTTAACTATTTAATTAATTGTCTTTAAAGTTACATAATCTTTCTATGTTTACCTTTATTTAATAAGATATTTTAATTAGAAAATCTTATTAAAAAATATTTTTGAAAAAACATTATTAATTGTACTTTAAAAGATCCAAAATGTCTTACATCCTTCGACACTCACTTTAAAAAAATGCATCCAAAAAAATTGACATTTATTTTGAAATAAATATAATAATTAAATGATAATAACACTGTTATAAGTATTAAATACTTCCCTTTTTATATAACAAAAGAAAAGTAGATTATTGTTACTATAACAATGATATAAAAGGAACTGTCTTGAAATAAACAGAAAGTAATGATTACTTTAACTTGTATACCTTAAAGGCTTAGATTGATGAACTAGATTGTAGGTTAAGAACCTACACGAAAACTACAATTAAGAGTCGGGGTTCTTCTAGAGTTTACAGAAAATGAAAAGTGCTTGACGTCATGCCTTACACACTTGACAAGCCAAAATGGCCTAACGTCTTTCAAGTCATAACAAAAATTGCAATTTGTGTACAAGGCCATAATCAGCTCCAGAATAAGTTTGCACTTGACCAGGCGCTAACTCAAGGTTTTTAACCTTGTCAGGGATGTCAGCGTGATTTTTTTTCCCAGTATTTAACATAGTCATGGCAGAGATTGGCTCCAAGCTTTTTTTTAACAATGTTGAAGCATTGGCCGAGCTATAAACAAAAGACTAGAATTGAATGTGAAACAAGATTAGAGTTGAGAAACATGAATAAGCAATCATTGTTACCAAGAGCTCCAACCTCCTCCACCTCCGAGGCATTTGGGATAGATTTCAAATAAAGCACAAAGTTTCCATAATGTCGTCAAAATGAGTTAAGTCATACCCATTATTGATAAACCTATACTTTCCATATAGATACTCCACGCTTATTCTGCATCACTTTGTGGGAACCTGTTCTCAATGTCTGTTATGACTTTACAAGTCCTAATTACTAATCCGTTACATTTCGCCCGGGAGCATGGTATCACCGCCAGGTAGATCGCACACAGCAATTCCCTGTTCAGACAAAATAAGGAGTTCATTGAAACAAATTAAGTATAAATGGACATGTCAGCATTGTTGGAAGAACTAGACTGATACTTGGTCGCTGAACCAAACTTTAGTACAGTTTAGTTGGTCCAAACAAATTAAAGGATGGCCACACCATTTTCAAAACCATTTAAGCATATTTGTATACTTTTAAGTAAGTTCGGATCTATTTTTAAACTGTTCACATGTTCATTTATAATTTGTTAGCACTATTAACATGATGACATGGTGTCTTACCTCGCCCGTTAGGTGAGCCACACATCTCTTTTCAGCCAGCAACTCAGCTTCCGTCTGCAAAATATTCAGTGTTATGGAGAAGGCAAAATATGAAGTGACCCACGAGCCGCTTTAGTAAGATAAAATTATACATATCAACAATCTAAAAATGGTTCGCCTATGTTGAATTGTTCTCTCCACATCCAAATTTTAAATAATTAGGGCACCCTTGGTCATTACAAATTTGATATTATAACTAAATGGTTTGAAAAGAATTAATGCTTTGAAGCTATTATGTGGAGTTGTGAACAGAGCTCATAATTTCAATTTTTGGATGTTGAACGTCACTATAATGGCTTAATCCTAACATTAGTCTCAGATTAACATTCAACGCGTAAACTACAAAAAGGCGAAATGATAATCAAATCACATGGGTTCCCTTCCAATATGACTTGATTATAAGCCTCGTGTTTCATAGAGTCTGAAATAAATCACATTGTTTATGGCTTATAAAAGTGCATCTTTCTATACAATTTTGCAAAATACACATAGTTCGGTTTCCCAGAGTCTGAAATCAATCACATTGTCTGAAATAAAATTAGATGCTTACCTTGGCTATTCGTTGCCGAAGATAGTCATCAAATATGACATCCTTGACAAGCTCATAATCACCATTTCCCTAAAGGATGACAAGAACGCATTAGGAGAAAAAGTAATTCAAGCATCTAAAACAGAAAATTATGCCTCAGGATCCAGATATTAGAATATTTTGGTTAACAAGCCTTGAAATTCATGATTATTTTCAAAGGACAAAGTTACTACTAGACTTCCAACCAGATTTATTCTCAGGTTTTAGAAAAGTTACTGATAGACTTTAGAAAACAGTTTTGAATAACTCTGTAATGATGCCTGTTAATCTGATAGTAAATCCAATAAAAATCTGGAAGTAACTTTGGTCTTTGAAAATAATTAGGATTTGTGAAGTCCTCATATCTAAATATTTTAACATCCGAGTCCTCTGATGCAATTTTCCTGAGAATTAGTGTCACAAAGAGACTCACTTTTGATCGGCATGGCATACTGAAAACAATATCTTCGGCTACACCATAGGGATTTCCATTGGTATACACCTGGTTCAGCATTTGCACTTTGTGAGATTAAAGTAGAAAGGATGACAGAGAAAACAATGAATAAGGCAACTTTGTGCAAAACAGGGTTTGCACATTCAAAGTTTCAGGGCGCACTATAAACAGCTCCCAGGGACTGCAGTCCATGTACAAACTTCAACACATAACTTTATTCCTTAAATTATCACGTAATCTAGTGTCTCCATTTGCTTTCCCAGGGACTATCACATGTCATAGTATCATGAGGAAGAAACTGGAAAAGCAAATGGAGACAATAGATTACGTGATAGTCATGTGACTTTTTTAAACACTAGTTCTAACTGATACTTAACACATTTTTGTGACAGCGTAGCTGCTGTGTTATGTTTCTTGTACACCATAGTTTTCATTAGGCTACATTTCAAGAAGGGTTATTTGTAATTTGCTCAAAGTGTCAATCATATGACTTCTGATAAGAAAATTTACGAGACACGTTTATTTTGGACTCAAGCACGTTAAAAGAAAAATTCATCCTGGCTGAAAATTTCAAGATCGCTGTTCGGAATTTTCTTTCTATTCCATAAAACAACCAGGAATCGTATGCAATATTGTATGCCTCACTTCTGTGTCATTTAACTAAGAGTAACTTACGCCAGATGAAAACCAATCACCCTCCGGAGTAGGAGTCATTAAAGACCGTATGGCATCAACAATTGACACGGCAGTTGATGCAGCTGATGATCTTCCCCACTTTTGAATAAGCACGCCACCTCTCTGCGAACCAAGAGATTTACTATTGCCAATAAGGCCAAAAAGTAATGTGAATTATGCAACATTTTTACATGTAGCTAAACAATCAAGCTCATTACAAGTTTTACCTTTTGAACCATTTCAGTGAACTCATTCTCTAACCATTTATGGTCCATAATCACTTCTTTAACAGGCAAAGCATCAATTCTGGCATTTAAGAAGTCAGGGACCTGTGAGTTATGTAACACCATGTCATGAAAGAACATGAAAATTCTATTCATGAACAAATTTTAAAAATCAAGGAAATATAATTTTTGGTCCTTAAATTTTATTCCCCAAAGACACAGATCTAGAGAGATTTCAACTTGTCAATTGTTGTTACTCCTGGCAATCAAAACAAGCAAGCATACATAGATTCGAAAGTTTGCATGGACTAAATTGCACAGGGATAAGATTTAAAGACCAAAAAGTACATCTCAAGAAATAATTCTTCAATGACCTGAGTAGTTGAGTGGTTGCCCCATATGGTCATATTTGAAACTTTATCATAGAAGACACCAGCTTTGAGAGCAAGCTGTGCATATAATTGAGCACAGAAAAACTAATAAGTATTTCTTTCACTGCAATATGAATTAAATGGAGTTCATAAACTGTTTACCTGACATTTAGCTCTATTCTCATCTAAGCGGGTGAGAGCATGAAAATTCTTAGCAGGAATATTTGGAGCATTTTTTAAGCATATCAATGCACTGCATATAAAAACACAAACAAATATATATCAGCATTCAAAGGCATAGCATGCCCCGAGTTTGAACACAAAATACAAAGAAAAGTAAACTATATCTCACTTTGTGTTGCAAGGGTTGCCCACAACTATAACTTTGACATTGCGTGAGGCCACAGCATTCAGTGCCTTTCCCTATGGTTCAAATAAAAAGATTTCAGGCCATTACTGTTGACTATTGTCCAGCTGACAACAGTTAGACAAGGACCTAAGTCTGATTCCACTTTACCTGTTCAGCAAAGATCTGTCCATTTATGTCTAATAAGTCTGCTCGCTCCATTCCAGGACCTCGAGGCTTTGCACCAATTAACAGAGCCCAATCTGCTTCTTGAAACACCTCATACGGATCAATCCCAATGCTTACCTCCCTCAATAAAGGAAACAAAGAGTCCTCCAATTCCATCGCAACTCCTATATGTTGAATTAGGAAATAAAAATCGAAAGGTATTAACAATATTCAATTATCAACCAATATCAAGAACTGTTTCGTTTCAGTAGGCAGCATAGTTGAATAATGTTGTCCTCACATATAGGAAACTACTGCAGCAAGATTGACATTGGCCAGCAAATTTAAGTTTGCTTCTGAAAGGTATCAAGAATTTTATTTTTATTCAATGTAACCAAGAAATAAACTACTCATAATGGCAAATTAAAATGTTTCCACTTGACCAATCAATAATTGGAAGTATTCATATTCTATTTTATTATTAAAAATGCCCCATCTCTCTCTAGCTGCATATTCAGTTGAGTACTAGGCAGAAAACCCTGACACGCTCATTCAGATAACAGTGAAAGACATGTTTATCAAAGGTGGCAGAGCACTAAAAGTGTACAATTGTGGAGCTTCTCACAACCAAAACTGAAAGTCAATTGTCTTGTTGTCATCAGGCGTATTCTGATTACTAATTTCACAAGGGATATCTCTCATGAATAGCAGATTACATGGTTAACTAGCTTGATTTAAATCCAAATTTTAAGACCGCAAATTATTAGAAGCTGGAGGAGGACTTCAGGTAAGCTTTGCTAGTACTTTAGGCAAAAGACAGAACACTTGTTTATTCTAACTGAAAGTAAATTCAATTTTATCATATTTCAAGAGGCTAACCTTCAAGAGCTTGGAATGATCTTTCAGATCCCAATAATTTCAGAGCAACAGGTTGGTCAGGACCAAATACCTCACCAGATGCAAGCTGACATAATAAACCAAGTCAAACACCAAGGAAAACATGATAGATTGTGTGACAAAGTCTAAAACAGGAAGTATCTCATTAATATAGCAACAACAAGCTTTATTCCACGAGGTGCATTGATTACATGGATTGTACAATGCCATTATACTCTATCATTTACCAAGCTTTTAGAAATGTTGTTAGCTAAGAAGTTTCAGTCAACAACTTCCATAAGTATTTTTTTTAGCCTTTCTCTGCCCCTCTTGACAAGACTCAAAATTATTCGTTCCACTTTCCTTATTGACACCTCCTGTGATCTTCTTTATACATGTCCAAATTATCTCAAATGATTTTTTACCATTTTTCCCTTAATAGATGTTACACCCATTTTTTTTCATATGTACTCATTCCAAATTTTATCTGTATGTGTATGCCCACACATCCATCTCAACATTCTCATCTCTACAATTCCAAGTTTAAGCTCTTCTTGTCCCGTTAAAGCATAACATTCACTATCATATAACATAGCTAGTCTTATAGCCATTCGAAAGGAAAGTTTATTAAGTTCCTTACAATTGCAAATAACTCCTTTAGTCTTTCTCCAATTAAACCATTAATATAAGAAAAGAATATCCAAGTATCTGAAAATGAAATAATCACTTGCAATATCACCCAAAAAAATTCCAACTATTAATATACAGAGAAAATTTTCAAAAATAGCAAGACAGGAGTAGTTATCACTTCAGACTCCTCAGTTTGAATTACATAGTCTGTAACAGTTCGAATTTAATTGGCTGTAAGTTTCCCGGCAAAGATACAAGAATGTAGTGCATCTAGCAAATCTTCAAACTTGATAAATCAAACCCAAAAGGAATGCATATGGACATTCAAGGATTTGCTTCTTCATTCATCTAACCATATTATTACTATTATAAGGCCACATTACCAAGCTGAAGGGAGAGAGAATTGGAGTCATGAAAATTGCAATGCACTTTCACTTCAATGTCCATTATATCATTGTTTAAGAAGGGCAAAAGGGTCATGTTCCATTCACTTTTCTTTCCCTTTTCCTTTCCAAAACATAGCCTAAGTTTCTGACTCCTGATTCCTGAAAATGCTAAGTAGCTAAAGCCAGGACAAAAGAGGTTGATGTAGCAAGGCTTTAATCAATTGACAGGAAGAAAACATATCATACGGGCTATAATCCATCCCTTCCCTGTGATAGGAAACTTGCAATCTGAAACCACTTGCAGGAAAGTAAAAGATAATAGAAAACCGATGATAATAGTTCTCCTCAACTGAAATACTAATCTGCTTTGGCCACATAATTATAGATTTAGATCCGAGATAGATATACCTTGAAAAGAAGATGATTAGCAATCATTCCAGCAGCACCTGAGACTGCAATGTTAATTAATTTCTTCCAGGATCTTGTCTCTGCTTCCTGTAAACACCCAGGCCAAGTGATTAAAACAAAAAACTCACTTAAAATAATGAAAGAACTCAAATGGTACACATGTATGCACAAAAACTGATAACAAATCGTCTCAATATCAAGTCAGTTGTTGATATTGCAGTTCCTGGTTAGTTCAACGTTAGATTGGATTTTTGAAAGGAAAAAATGACTGGGGAGTACTGCATGGTTCACAGTAATTTAAATATTTCAAGCGCTATCCAGTATCCCCACAACATTCAGAAGCACAAACCCACAGTAACGCAGCATTATAGCATTGATGCTATCTCGCCAAGCCACACGAGACAAGAGTGATTAAGAGTACAATTGTAATAGAAACTAGAAAAGTCGTATAGTTGATGAATTAATTTAACAGATCAGTACTTTAGTTTTAGTTCTCAGACAGACAGAAAACTTTGTTTCAGCAGGATTCAATACGATTAGTTCAGTTAGCAAAATATAAAATGCATAATTCCATTAGACAATATGGTGGTTGAATCACTCAAAGTGTTCCTTATGTAGACCTCCGATGATTTGGAGCAAGAAATTTTTATATCACAATATATATATATATATGGTGATACTTGTTGAATTTGCTCATGAACTTGTCCATTACCAGAAACTCCAATTTAATCAAAAGATTTGAGAGCCCGTGGATGATAAAGAAACAAATCGTAGTATTGCTACCCCAAGAAGATCCACTTAGCATTAAGTTCATATCAACTTAAAAGATATGGAAATAATTAAAAAATCTTGTGTGATGAAATGTTTCCTCGTTTCAGTTTAACTGGTAAGATCAAAATCTTGTATGAACGAAAGGGCCAAAAATAATTGTCAAGATTTATCTTAAATATCTTATTGATTTTATTGGAGTTTACCAACACAGGCAAAATTAACGAGAAAACGTATAAACAAAAGCCAAGCATCTGATTCTACCCATATAAAAGAGAAAGTTGCAAGCATCAGAATATATCACACCTTAGAAAAGCAATCACACTTTCGAAAAGCAGTTAGGATGTATAGATAAGGGCAAAAATGCATGCTGTACCATGGGAATTATGTATCAACATGCACATAATGAGGACCAAAAAGAACGTCATCAAAACCTTAAAATAGACCGTTATTGCTCCAAAAGTCAAACAATCACCACACTAAACCCACAAAGAGATCAGTACTGAGAAAGAGAAAACTTACAGAATCATGGACTAAAAAAAAACATGAATACTAATACAAATACGAAACACAACACAATACAAATAGTCCATGTAATTTTGTCTTTAAGGTGTTGCTTCATAGATAATTTATAAAATCCAGATTGTGGGTTTAAGACCATTGTTGCAAAAAAATCTAAGAAGCAACGCAAGAAACAACATAATATATCGTTTTTAAATGCAATCTTGGAGTCAGAAAATTCAAAATTCTATATCTTTCTTAAGTATCGGTGCTTATTGAGAATGATACTTACAGCCTTCAAATCATAGGTAAGGCAGAAAACACCATAGCAATCAGGTTTACTCTTGGGGTCCTGGGTTTGCACTGCTGGCGCTTGAACTTCACTGAGCAGAGAGAGAAAATAAAAAATTGAACAAATAGTCATATCCATTGAGTTGAATTTGTTAAATAAACAGCAGTGGAGGTAAGAGAAGGAGCTTACTTAGGTGCAATAGAGCACGATATCCTAGCATTTTGGGTTCTATTAGGAGTCCGAAAAGTACAGTGGTACGGCTTGGTGAGACTGAGACGTTTCGATAGAATTGAGAGCTGGGAAGAAGAGTGAAGATGGGTTATTCTGTTAGAGGGTTTGAACTCTGCCACAGCCATGGCAGCAGAGAGAGACAGAATTTCAGCCAAGGTAAAAAAGGCTTATTTTTGTACTACGGATGAAGAAGCTCAAGAAGAGCTTCCCTTGTGGAAGAAATTAAACGACGATTCTCTTGACAGAGAATGTCAGGTCAGACGATATAGAAGTAAGCAGGGAGCGAAAAAGAGAGAAGAAAATGTGGAGAGAGGCTCCATTTTTTCCCATCCGTTTTCCAATCTCCACCATTCAAATTATTTAATTAAATAATTTTTTTAATAATAAAATTAAATTGAGAAATATTGGGGAACAATTGGAGAGATCCCCTGTTCGAGAGACCGGAAGAGAATGGTTTGAAATATTGGTGTGAGGCTACGGAAATGACACGTCAAGAATTGTACAGTAAACATCATCCATAAAACGTTCGTTCGAAGGTTTGGATTTACAGGCAATGATGGATTAAGTGGACTTATAACTCACAATTTGTTTGTTTCTCTTGCTGGTCACTGGCCTGTGCACATCAAGAATAGATTCACTTTCGCAACATGGATTCAATTTGCAAGGCCTTTTTTCAGTTCACTGAGAATTTTTCCGTTGTTTGGAAGATTCCCTTCATCACAGAATCCATATAATTGGCCTTTCCCATAGATTCTTTTATATGTAAGGACGCACGCACACACTGAGAAAAATGATTGATTTAATACTGAGCCAATCATATGCAAAATTTTAAGCGCATGCAAAGTCATCACATCATCCATCTTTGTACAAAAATAGTACACAACAACAACAAAGCAAGCCCATGCATGGGTCTATATTATTAATTCATAACTACGGTGGTACTTGTCCTTTTAGTCATCATCTCAACTGTGCATGTGATTTGTGCCATAATTGATCCTATGATGTAGAATTTGATTTTAATGCTACCGCAAGTAATATATGTGGGTCTTTAATTTGTTTTAAGCTACAAGTATAAACAGTGACATACAGTATAGGTTAATTAATGTAATCCATCCACTGCCATGGGTAAATCTCGTATTATAGTATATATTATATGCTCAGGGATAAATTGGCAGGAATCACCCCTTTTGTTCTCATTTTCAGATGAAGCAAAAGATCACAATCCAAACATCGATCGATCCCTTTGAAGGTGGCTCTCTCTCACATATGGAAAATATATACCCATGTATGGCCGTCTCTGATCTATATATAATATATAGCCTCAAGCGTTTGAAACAAAGCGGTTCATGCAGTCCCTCTCTACATCTGAAGATTGTTGAACTGGTCACACCTCAGCCTCACCTCTCCCTTCCGGCCGGTCTTCACTTGGTGCGTGGAAAGCCTCTGCATGGCGGCAGCGAAATCCTGGAAGAACGCGGTCTGGTTTTGGGCGTACACCTCCACTATTGGCCTGGTTCTCGGGTCCACGCTCATCAGGTAGTCCGTTGACAAAAGGCCCAGCCCGTTCAGAATATTTTGGTAATACGCGTTGTCGAACTTGCTGGGCGACCTCACGTCGTTGAAGGCCGCGATGCCCGAGTCCTGGGTGTAGTTCTCGCACAGCTTCTTCAATCCAGCCACCAGCTTCGGGTTCATGGTGGGGTCCACGTCCGACGAGGCGCTGAAATTGTAGATCCTGCGGCTGAACTCCTTGCAGTGCGTGAAGCCTATGGTGTGAGCCCCCGTGAGAGCCACCATCTCCCTGATACTGAATCCTTTGGAAGTGAATTGGAACATGATCTGGTCCATGGACATGTCCGTCTCCGGAAGCCTCTCTGCCGGCCTGGAGATGTTGGAGACCAGGCTGTCCTTCCGCCCAAGAGTAACGTCGTAGTAGGGACCCCCGACCATCTTGACCAAGTCCCGGGTGGTCTGGGCGACGATGTCGGAGCAGGAGACGACGCCGGGGCAAGTGAGCTCGAGGGAGTTCTTAATTTTGGTGACGAGGTCGAAGGCGTCTCCGGAGAGGGAGAGGTTGGGGAGGGCGTCACGCTCGCCCTTGGCGTAGGAGTTGGAGGAGATGAGAAGGGAGGCATCGCAGCCATCGGTGAAGCAGTCGTGGAAGAAGAGGCGGAGGACGCCGGCGGCGGTGGCGGGGACGGCGGTCTGCTTGGTAAAGACGTTGTCCCGGACGACGGAAGGGAAGGAAGGGCAAGTGAAGGCGTAATAGTCGAGGGAGAGATGGGAGCGGGAGGAAGCAAAGGGAAGAGAGAGGAAGAGGAAGAGGAAGAAGGGGAGAGCCATGGAGGCCGGGGAGGAAGAAGCAAGAGAGCTCTGCTTTCTTCCTCGGGGGGGGGGGGGGATGGCGGGAGAACGATGCAGAAGGGAGTTGTTTGAAGATAATGGAGGCCCTCGCAAAAATGGAAAACCCGAGCCCTTTCAACCGCGCTTCTCTTCATTTTTAGCCCTTTCTTCCGATTCCCGTGCTGTGCCCCCTTCCTATTTTTTGCATGCTTGGCCGTTTTCCCCGCTATTCTTTTTTTTTTTTTCTTTTTTTTTTAATATAAACAAACTGAGCTCGAACCCATCACTTATACAGTAATTCCCCTTGGTCCATAGATTGTATATTCTAATTCAAATCAACTAAGATGCGGCTTATCTTGGGTTGATATCAATAATTGTCGTTGACTTTAGATCAGCAAGGATACACATAACATAAACAACTCTTTGACCGTGAAAAAGCCAACCTCATTGACCAATTAACATTGGACGTGCGTGCGTACGCTCGTTCCCCTGTGCTGCTTTGTGTCGCCCACTTCTGCATTTGTTCCACCAAACGCCAAAAATTTAACATGTCTCCACTGCTAAATATAATTTTAATTTGTATATAAAACTCATCCACGTGTTGGGAGATCCACTTTAGTTCCTAATAATCCTGTTCATGATGTTGGATACAATTTTGCTGTTAAAATCTGAATTATAATTTGTCAAAATTTAAACTACGTACAACTTGTTAAAAGGATGATGAGTTCTTTTTCTAAATAGGCAAGGTATTTTCATCATTTCTCATGTAAGGTTATTTTTCATTTAAATTCTCCAGTTCTCGGGCTAAAAAAAAATTATAACTAGATCTCACACAAAAAAAAAATTATTGCAAAGTCCATTGACAATTAAATTAAATTGCATGAAATCTCATGTAAGGTTATTTTTCATTTGTGTTGTGTTACAATGCAATTTAATTTAATTGTCAATGGACCTTATAATAATTAATTTTTTTGTATGAAATTTTAATGTAATTCTCCCAAAAAAAATCTCTTAGTGATGAAATATAGGATAATGATTAATTAGAATAATTATGATTTATTTAAGATATTAGAATTAGCTATTATGAATATTTAAATAACGATATTATACATTATAATAAGGATTTATTATTTATTTTATTGTTATCTTAGAAATTAGTATTTTAATATTAGATTTAGATTTAGGACTTGAAATTTGAATTTAACTTTTTATTATTTAATTATTTTAAGAGTTCTATAAATAGAGTTAGGTTTTTTATTTGTATTCAGTTTTGAATATTATTAAATAAGAGTTTTCAAGAGTTTTGGTATTCGCCCTCCTTCTTTCTCTCTCCCCCTCCTTTTTTCTTTCTCTCTCTTCCCCTCTCCATTTCCATTTTCCATCAATTTTGTACCAGAGCTTGCTTCCACCTCCCTTCCTTGTGTTGTTTTTCTTGTTGAGATCCATAAAATAACTCAAACCTTCCCTAAAGCTACATATATTATCATATAAAATATTTGAAAGATAATTTTCAATCTATATATTCATGATTTTATATGAAATATTACCATGAATGCCCATACAGGGAGTGTCAAAATTATTATGGCACCCCACCTTGACATGTTGGGCATCCACAATACTATCACGATCCATAGAGGCTACTAGAGGAGAATAATTGAAGAACGATGCTATTACTAGTATGCATATGACCAATGGTGTGGTTATGAAACACGTCGCAAGTTTGAATATGCACAACAAATTGTTAAGGAAAAAAGTTTCGATGTTAAATTAGAAAGGTGAATAGTTGAAGTCAAACGTTGCAATGCTAAATCCAACGCTAAATTAAAATGTCAAATTCCAAAAGGTATGCGTCTAATTGAGAAAATAAAGAGGAGTTTCCAACATATTATGGAGTCACTAAGTAACTAAAATCTACCTAGTGAGCAGATAGATGTTGAAACTCCAACACTAGAATCAAAAGGGTCTACTAGAACTCTTATGGAACCTAATCATGAAAATGATTTGTTGACCCCAACACCTTTACCTTCACAGGCTCCATTAAAAGTTCCTCTACCTATCATACAAGTGCCATATTCTGATATTCTCAAGTTGTGATCAGTCAAAATCAACATTGCCTTACTACAAGTTCACCTCTTTTACAAATTGTACCTACCAAGAATGTCATGTCACTTAACATGAAGCTTCAACATTATCTTGTCTGCTAGGAAAGTTTTCTAGAGATTCCAAATAATCGATATCGTCTTCCACATGATGCAGTTCATTACTACCTCACTTGCTGGAAAAGATTTTTAAATTTATGCACGTGGATGAAATTTTATCCTACATGTCCCTTCCCAACTAATTTGTGCTTCAATTTTAACTTGTCAAGAAACGAGTTCTTCAAGCGGAAGAAAAATGATGGAAAAAGGGATAATGATTAATTATGATAATTATGACTTATCTAAGATATTATGATTATTCATTAGGGATATTTAAATAAGGATATTTATCCATTAGAATAAGATTTTATTGTTTATTTTATTATTATCTTAGATATCAATATTTTAATATTATATTTAGATTTAGGATTTGATATTTTAATTTAACTTATTATTATTTTATTATTTTAAGAGTCCTATAAATAAAGTTAAATTTTTAATTTGTATTCAATTTTGAATATTGTTGAATAAGAGTTTTCGAGAATTTTGATATTCTCCCCTTCTTTCTCTCTCCCCCTCCTTTCTCTTTCTCTCTTTTCCCTCTCCTTTGCCTATTTTTGCATTACCTAGTCTTGTGGATTAATTTTAAATTTCTTTAATCCTTTTTTTGGCAATTAAATCCTTCTTGTGAGGCTTAAATGATATTTTTTGCAAGATGAGCGGTTGAGCGATTGATTTTGTAGGTCACATTGTATTGAACCATTATAAGTGTTGGATTAATTAGAGTGATTAGTGTCATTCACTTAATTGTTGATGACCCTGAAATTTATACAAAATATGTCACATTTTATTATAGGTCAGGGGGTTATATCCTACTTCAAGAGAGAGGTTAACAAAGATCCTCACTTCATGTTTGACTTCAAAGTGGTTTTGAAGTTTGAAGTTTGGTATAAATAATCCTTTAAGTAAAAGATTATATGTTGTAATGTTCAATAATCATAATCAAGAATGTGTTCATTTTCTTCTCTCTATTCAATTCTTTGTAATCTCAACCATAAACATACAAAATCATTGTAAAATCCGAGCTAGTTGATTAAGATAAGAATGCATGTATGAGAGAAAGGTGCATTACAAGAATTGAAAATTAGACTTGAAGATGTTGATGTCTTGGCTTCCTTTTATTTGTAGCTGCAGGTAGAACTCGGCCATGACGATGGGGATGTGTATATCTTTCTTATTGATATGTCGTCATGATATAAAAAGGCATGCAAGATAAATGTGTTACATATAAAAAGTCTGAGGAGATTATATAAAAACGTGTGAATAATGATAAATGTCATGATATGATTAAGGCATGCAAATTAAACCGTGTGAATAATGATATAAAAAGGAATGCAAGATAAATGTTACATATATATATATATTTAGCCATTATATAAGATTAATATTAGTGCAGATAAAAATTAACGAAAAAAAGAATTGGAAGAATCAGGAAATAAGAAAGTCTTAGGAGTATTATCCTGGCCCTGGATGTAAGAAACAAAAGGCCCTGAATGATTGAATCATTCGTTTTGTAGCGCGGTGAGAGTGGGGAGGCGTGCATGAGAAGCAAATTAAGTACCATCCAACTACAACCCCACTGAGAATGAGAGGCATATCTAAATTATACAAATTCTATCCAACACTGCCCAGGTGTGATACCCTCATCGCCACCTGTCCGGTCTTGCTTTATACGCAGACTCACCTTTTTAAAAAAACATTTCCTTTGTATTTCTCATTTTTGGATATGAAATATAATACCACTGTTATTTTTTCACTTGAAACAGTCAATCATCGAAAATGGGAGACAGCTAGAGAGCTGATTCCTCACCCAATTCAGCCTACTCAGAACCCTTTTTATTCAAAAATAAAAAATAATTTTTATCATTGTATTGTTCATATCCTAGGTAATAGTACGTTTTCCACATGTGATTCCGAGTAATTAATGTATGGTCTCGCCATTATACATAAAACATTCAACGTGTCATCTTTCAACACGAGAAAAATGGAAAATTGAGTGAAGAATTGACCATCAGTTTAATTATGTATTCCACGCTGCCAGTCAGCCGGAGTGATTTGCAAGTATTCCTTAATTCCATGGACGCCAAGTAAATTTAGTGCGGCAAACAATGCACCACAATCAATGGTGGACGTGGTGATAAATTGGAGAGGTGTTGAATTTGGAGGATTGAGGAGATCATTTAAATAAATTAATTGAGTGCAGCACTGAGTGATGGTGGCTGTCAAATGAAAAGAAGCTAGGCATGTCGAAAGTGGAAGTATGAACACGAAGCCTTCATAATAGGCAGCACCACACCAACCACACTAATAAGCCCAGGGAAGGTACCAGAATCAATCAGTGGATGCATGCATGTCGTCACTTCACAATGCCTATATATATAGGGGCCATCACCCATCACTTTGTTGCATCCCAGAAACTTGCTCTCGTTCATATATATATATATATATATATATTCTGCTACACCATGTCCACCTCTAAGCTCATTGCCACTTCCTTCATTGTTTTGCTTCTCTTCCACCTCGCTTTTGCTGCTAGACTAGTTCCCCATGGCTTGTTTCCCAGAGGTGGGGGTGGCGGAGGAGGAGGAGGAGGGGGAGGGGGTGGTGGCTCTGGGGGTTCCGGATATGGATCTGGATACGGGTCGGGATATGGGTCTGGCTATGGGTCTGGCGGTGCAAATGGTGGCGGTGGGGGCGGTGGGGGCGGCAGGGGTGGAGGTGGCGGCGGTGGTTCTGGGGGTTCTGGTTATGGCTCTGGCTATGGCTACGGTGAAGGAGGTGGCTACGGAGAAGGGGGCGGAGGCAGAGGAGGTGGCGGGGGCAGCGGTGGCGGCGGCGGAGGAGGGGGAGGAGCAGGTAGATATGGTAGTGGCTCCGGCTATGGTTCAGGGTATGGCGGTGGCTACGGTGGCGGCGGTGATTGACTGCCTTAGGAGCGTGTCTAAATTTTAATTATATGAAAATAACTGGCATGAGCCTAGCTAGGGTAAGGTAGAGCTTGGAATGTTTGCTGGAGTGTGTGTGATTTGAGGAATAAAAAAATTGCAGTCTGAATTCACCATCCTGCAGATTTCATTCCATGCATGGTGGTGCTGAAACGCCTGCAAGATAGCATCATTTCTTGTATATTTACTCTCATATATATATATATATATATATATTGCCCTCCCAATTATTATTGTTATCATCGTGTATTAATTTGTTGTACCATTCCCTCAGTTTTATTTTATAATTAATTAATTTTACACGTTACTTATATATGTCTCTGAACCTTGACATTATTACATTAATAACGACATCGGGCCTGCCTCATTCGGTCAATAGGCTCACATGACTATAAAGATTTAAGATTTAGGGAAAAAGACATGGGAAATTATTTTTATAAAAGAGGTCAGCGTATGGAGCGATATAGCATACATAAATGATAAATGCCATTACCTTTCGATCTTTAATTTACCATGCGATCATAAAATAGCAGCACGTGCAATGCGCAATGGAGTTGATTTTAAAATAAATTTAAATGCATGAGATTTGAACAAAATAAAAGGCCCGTGGTGAGGCCAATATTACATGTGAATGCAACTTTTTCGGATGTGTGAACAGTAAGTTTGCAATAACGTCCTTTTTTAAAAAAAATTGATTATTGGTTCCTAATAATTTAAAAAAAAAAAGTAATAGAAAGGATTCTCTTCGTATTACAGTAATGTTATGATATATGATTTCTCTTAAGTTATTATCACCCTTCTCATCGTTGTGGATTATAGGAGATCTGATAGTTGGACAAATTGCGCGTTTATAAATATTTGCTATCGAAATGGTTTACGAATAAATAATTAAACAGCCATACAGGGGGTGGCTTGCGAGTCACAGGACCGCCGCTTTGGGGTAAAAGTATGAAGTGTGTGTATGTGAATGGATTGGATCAGAATTTGGACCTCTCTCTCTGTTTTTTTTTTTTTTGGGGGGGGGGGTTACAGTGGATGTTTTTAGATGTAAAGGAAACAGTGGGCTTTAAGTATCATCCACTACGTTGTCCGTTTTCACAACTGAATTGCGGAAAGTGTTGGAATAATTTTTACCACAATTATGGTTTCAGTTCATGTTATCGATATCTCATGATTCCAGTATATACCTAACTTTAGCAGACAATTTATGCAACGTAAATATGAGTTTGATTGCAAGAACAATGATTACAAGACGTGAGAAATGACATTGATAGTCTTTAGGGATGGTCCCAAGTCTCAATCTCCATTTTGCTGCTGTTTTGTACCTCCCAAAATATTCTTATAATTAATAATCATGAAATTAATCTCTTAATAAATCTGAACATTATTTAAAAGGTTGTCATCTCCCAAGCGAAGTTTTCCATACATCCTTCAAGAAATTGAACTTTAGAATTTAAAGGGCCCAAACTGTTAATCGTACATGACAGTTAAAAATGTAAAAAAGAATTCGAGTTCCTGCTGTTACCTTGTCATTACCCATACGCTTCATTTTATCCTGTTAATGGGCGTCTTCTTCCCATTCTTCCTGTGGGCTCTACCCCCTTGCTTTTCCCTATCTGCCCCTTTACTAGACTTGAGCCTAGTTTGGTCCGTGGCCCAATAGAATAACACATCATGGATATGTTTGTCATTGCTTGGTTAATTGGTCAAAATAAGAACAAACGTTAAATATGAATACTTCTTCTAACAATAAAAATTCAACATTAATTCATCACTTATGAATGACTAGTAAAGCATCATGGACATGGTAACTCTATTTGCTACTTATGTATTGTTAAGATTAAGACTCAAAATTCTATACTCTAAATTAGCATGGGTACATCGGAGTAAAAGATGGATGCCTAGCTTCATCGAAATCCCACTCCTCTTCCTCTTGATCATAATCATCCTCATAGTTTCCTCACCTCATTTAGGATCTATACTTTCTCAAGGAATTTTTTTGTCAGATAAAATCTTTTTTTTTTTTTACTTTTTCTATCACATACTCATGTCAGAGTCTCCCTCGCACTGATCATGTTTAATTAAGCTATAATAATCTGATATTATATTTTTCTATATAGTCTTGTTACCATTAATGGCTAAAGTATACTTTTAATCCTCTAATTTTATATAAGGTTTTAATTTGATCATTTAATTTTATAAAGTATATTTTTAATTCTTTAACCCTAATATTATTAGTTTTAAATGATTATTTTTTATGAATCATTATTATTTAGAAAAAAATTAAATTTAATATATCAATATTTGAGAAATATTTTATTAATATTTAAATAACAGTGTTAAAATTAAAAAACTACAAAAATATTTTTTAAAATTAAGAGACTAAAATGAAACATTGTGTAAAATTAAAAGATTAAATATATACTTTAACCTACTGTTAATTTAATTGTATGACTTAAACAATCCTCTTTAATTTTGTTCTATTCGGAATCATCAATATATTATTAATAAATAAAAATTATACTGCTAATTTGATTGTATGACTTAAACAACCGTCTTTAATTTTGTTCCATTCGGAATCATCAATATATTATTAATAAATAAAAATTTACAATAAGTTACATTATCGACAAGTCATCACTGTCAATTCCTACTTCATAGTCCATGTAAGACATGGACAGATTTTGACTAATTTTTAGAAAATAACAAATACTTAAAGTCCATGTTTTACTAGAGGCATTGCATTTATACAAGGGAAGCTTTTAGGATGAGCCTACCTTGACGACGAAACTCGAAGTTCAATGAGCATCACCCTGCCAAAAATTAGATTAGGTACTGGAGAGACGCGTTCGGGAAAATCTAACCTCTTAAGGTATTTTGTCTAGCAAAAAAGAAAAAACTCTTAAGATGTTTTGGGATTATAATTCATCGTTATAACAATGATCTCCGAATCATAGATATGAGTGGTCTTAAGACTTTACTCTCTACTCTAAAATAGGCTCAATACTAGGAAGTCACAAATTATGTCTCATGCTTTGATGAGTTTCTTTAAGTATGTTTGAGTTTTCAGTTTTAAGATTGCATGCGTGAACCAAAAGGAAGCACGTGCGTTTATTTGAAAAATAATGAAAAAAGAAAAAAAATTATCATTATAAAATATAAAATTTATAACAAATCACATTATTTGTAAGTTATTTGCAGTACGACCATCTTATACTTTATGCAATACACAGGAACCGTGTCTATGTCTACTTATTTTTGAGAAAAGAAGGACAAGAAAAGAGGGGGAGGGGGAATTTCACTGAGAACTCCTTGGCCAAACATAAAAAAAAAAATCCCTTAAATTTTTGAAACCTCATTTTAAATACGGAGTATTGAATTGAAATTAAAATTTAATAAAAAATGATGAGATTGTCCTCATCTCTCTATACGTAATTTAGCTGAAATAGAGTATTCTTTTGCCTTAGAGAGTCGCCAATTCGAGTGATGGCACTACTCTTAGTTCAGACAAGCTATGCAAGTCGCCAATCCAACAATGAAGCTCCCAATTCAAGAACAATAACAAGATTCAAGCGAACAAGAGTGATCACCTCATCTCTATGCATTTCCAATCATTTCTCTTTTGTTTCATTTTGCCGAGGAGTCTAAGAAAGATGATAAAGAACAAGAGAAAAATTAAAGAAATGAACTAAAAGTTCATTGGACTGTAAATAAAATTTGTTTATTTCCCTACTAAATTTTGTTCATTGTTTATTTCTTTGGAATAGAATCATTGCATTATGTTAACCATATTATAAATCAAAAGTTGAGGAGAAATTCACAATCAAAGGTTGTGTTTTGTTTTTTTAAAGCAGTGTTACAAACAAGTCCATTAGGCAAATGAACAAAGTAGGAAATGAATAACAATCTGCAAACAAATGAACAAAAATATGTTTGAAAGACTTGTTTGTCACCCTAATATGTAAGGTTCATTACCCTATAATAGTTCTTAATTTCCTTACCGCATTTATTCATTACAACACTGACTTGAAAAAAAAAAAATAAGTATTGGTTTCATATGTAAATGACTTATTTGTGATCTTATTATGTGTGTTTATTATCTTATAAATTATTTTTTATTTTCTTACTTCACTTATTCGTTACAACACTAACTTGAAAAAAATTTCATGTGTTGGTTTTATACCAAAATAGTTAATCACGAAAATCAAATTCCCTCCAAAACTCAATCAAGGAGATTCTTGAGTAAAAACTTTGATTCTTGGGTAAAAACTTTGACACAGAGGTGTCATTGACATTCAAATATCCTAGTTTAAGTTTTAGAAAAAAGTTTCAAAAGCTTCATTACATGCATCCTCTAACTTCAAAACCCAATAATTCATGATAACCTCAAGTTAAAAAACATTCTTTTAAATCACAATTAATCAATTACCAACCATACATCTCAAATTTCTATCTTCACCTTTTCTTAAATCTTACTGCTAGCCAAGAAATATTCAAAGCTTTAACTACTTAAGATTATCAAGCATACATTTGATTTTAGATTCAAAGTGCAAAGAGACAAGAACAATCTTGTCATTTCCCTCTTAAACTTAATTTCAATTAAATATCCCAAACTTATGGTGAGATTTCAAAAATTCAAGATCTTTCTTTTTTATTATGTCTAGACAAATAGTCCTCAGTAAAATTTTCCCAAAACCAAAAAAAAAAAAGAGTTGACATCTTAAAAACTGTAACGGTCCCAAGAAAGCGAACTTTGATTGCTTGTAAATGCTTGATTCACAAGAAAATGCCTCTTATTCTTCAGCCTTTTATGAAGAATTTGTCCATTATTCTTCAAGCTTCAGTTAAATATAGGCCATCAAGGGGAAATATTCAAATAATAACTACCGCAAAAAATAAATAATCTTCAGATCCTATCTCAAACCTCAAACCAGTGAAAAAAGGTACATTTTGGACTCATTAGCTACTTTCACTTCCAACATTTAGTAAAATGAAAGGCAATAAAGATACACTTCTACTTGCTACATTTGATTAAGCACTAACGGCCTTCCCGAAGGATCTTATACTCCGTTCTGAAAAGAATTCCTGTAAGATCGCTCTCACTAGAACAAAAAAGAAAAAGAAAAGAAAAAAAAAGAAAAGACAGATGCTGCCCCGTCTCCCCCTCTAACAACATTCAGACCTCTCAACGCATCACTTGTATGGCATTTACGTAAATAAATCTTTAAAAAAAAAAAAAAGATAAGAAATTAGAAGGCAGGTTCAAGTCACCAAGCATCCCAACACTAGACAAGGGTGCTTCTTCGAACGTAAACTACTCCATTGCCCTCTCCTCAGCATAAGCAACCTTCTGCATTATCATAGTTTCAGCTGTTCGTATGGCTCTCTGTGATCCGGTTATCGTAACTTTCCTATATAATGAAGATAAAAGAACATCTCAACGTTTTGGTAATCCACCAAAAAAAAAAAAAGTAAATTACATTATCCTCTCATTTTTCTGAAATTACAGATTCATCTCTTCTATTTTTTAAAACTAATAAAAACATCTATCCCGAAAAATTATACAGATTTCTCTATTTTCAAAAGTTATATAAACCTCTTCTGAGATAAAAAGTAAATAAAACAAAACACCCTTGAAGTTTTCAGAAGTACACAAAACTTCCCCTAAAAGTAAAAAGAGTATCTTTGTAATTTAAGAAAAGATCAAGAAAGGTTTATGTTATTTATTTTTTATTTTAAGGGGAGATTAATATGCATTTTGAAAATAGAGCATTCTATAATTTAAAAATTTTCAAGGGAAGTCCAGTATATTTTTTTTTCAAAGAAGTTTGTATAAATGAAGAAAATAAACAGTAAATATTTATAATGTCCAACAAAGCTCGAAATAAGCATGTGACATTTACTCAAAATACATATAAAGCCATGGAAATCTAAATGGTAGAAAATCTTCAAGGAAAATAAATTCCTTTTCATACCTATCATTTGTTCCAGATAGGAAATCACCCCTGTCTGATATCTTAATCCTTGCCCCACTAACCTGAGAAAGTGAAATGAGTTTAGTTTCTCACAAAAAGCATCAAGTAATCACATACGACCAAATAATAATTTAACATTAGAAAAACCTGACTAATTTCCATTATATTCCTTCCACCACGACCAACAACCAACCCTATATGGCCATCTGCAACGCCGATGGTCAGTGATTTACTCAGCTCCTCCTGGAAAACAACAGAAGACCAATTGTCAGTTCAATTTTAGAGAGCAAGTCACATTTACATCTAGAGGAAGCAAGCATTTAGACAGAGAAGATCTAGTCAACTTGTCATCTGCTATTGACATAAAACAAACATGAAAGCGTATAGGCAGAGCCATTGTCTTGTAAAAAATTGATAAACAAAAAATTCAATCCCTACCTCAAACTAGTCACCTGAGCTAATAAGGGTGGGCAATGGTGTGAGTAAATTTAAGGTTCCCTCCTGATGTTTGGGGGAAATCCTCAAACTTGAAATTTACTTTTTTACTGATTTGGCAAATCACAACCCATATTCTTTAAGGACTCTAATATCAAAAATACTGCCTTAGAAATTTGGAGTCGATCAAGTTGAGCAGCATTTCAATATATTTGTAAGATTACACCCCCCACATGCTCAGCCAGATTAAACAGGTCTTCTTTACTATGTGAAGAAATATTCCCCAGGTTTGATACTAGAAACATACAACCGTGATGTCTAATTGCTACTCATGTCTTTAATTAGCAGTGATAGGCAAGCATTTTCCCGTAAAGGCATATCACGGTCCATTTTTCTCATCGGTAATCACATTGCTTCTATTTTGTAGATTGACAAAACCATGCATTTCTTTCCTGGAAAAAATACAATTAAATCAAACCACCAACTCTTACTATTTTATAGAGTTCTGACCAATAGAATACAAATTTATATTATCATAAATAGCAGTGACTATATCATTTAATTTCTTATCTTGCTGTTTATGTGGTCATAAAGTTGGTGACTGTTCAAATAAATTTATTTAAAAAATAAATAAAAGTCCTCTTGATTTTTTTCATAAATTATAGGGCCAGCAAAGCTTGGTTTACCAAATGTCATTATCATGGATACTGATTCATATATAAATAGTCCTAGAATAATTATGCATGACTCCATCCAGGATAATAAGCCACAAAGGATTAGTTAGTGGCGGGGAAGAAAACTATATTTGAGGATAGCAACACTTGAGTTGACATTCCAGTTTCAACTTTCTCAACATATTGAAATTAAGCAAATCATAAAATCAGGAGTTAAAATTGAAATTGACGGAATGAGGATAACCTTGATCTCCTGGAACTTCTTTCCAGCACCATTTGGTCGATAATTTGTTGCATTGTATGCTGCTGCTGGGACAGAAGGAAGCACATAGGCATATGGAACACCATGATATCCGGAAAAGACAACACCTAAAGTCCAAGTTAAGTGGGCATACTAAGCATCAAAATCAGCACTTACAAACAATTGTTCTTTTCCCATAAGTTGCTCACAAATAAATTAAAATACAGAACAAGGATAAATAAATATTGATTAGACCACCATCCTGTAATCTTCATTAAAATGGAGAACCCCAAAAATTGATAATCATTAAATTCTTAAAACAACTTTCCTCATAAACAAGCTAACTAGCAGTGGAATTGTAATGCTGTGGCTGCTTAAGTTTCCAAAAATGTCAAAATTCACCCTTTTATGTTATATGACATTTGAATACAGAGAAATAGATGGAGAAAGATAACGTAAAAGAAATGTAAAGTGCAATAAGAGATTAAGTATACATAACTTAGAATCACACTGGGAAGGCCCCAATCTATCAGTGAATAGTTGCAAGTAAATTTCATTTGAAGAAGCTATGAGCAATTCAACATTGAGAAGGGAAACGAAACCTCAATGCTACATAGTACAAACATTTTAACATTAATCTGCTACCCGATTCAGCCCAGTACACTCTACTGTACAAATAAAAGTCATAGAAATTATGTTTTTCAAGTTTTACTGTAGAGAAGATCATTCCAAGAAATGATGAACACAGATCAAGACAAGGATCTAAGCTCAATTTTTTGAAAAATGTGTTCCTTCTAGCAACTAGATCGTGCTTAATGTTTGTATGGTGATAAATGTAGATTTTGTTCAAACCTTGAAAAAGAAATCATAAAAATTAAACAATGATAGGGTCTAGATGCAGGGGACTGGAAAATACATTCACTCCAACACCTACAATAAAAAGGCAGGATCCATTACCAGAACACTCCCATTGCCATTAATTGTTACCATCATAAACAATAACACCAAGTCATTGCAACAAAGTATAAAGCATATAGAAAAGGAATACTGTTAGGGGAAATTTCTAAGTTCAACGATCAAAGCCTGATGCCTAAACGTGATTCTGAACAAATAAAGTAATATATTAATATTTATTCACGTTTGGGATCCTATGGTGGAAATAATATTCAACTATTTATTCATCATAAAATTTGAAACAAAACTGCAACACTCAAAAACTCCGAACAAGATACTTATTAGTGACTTTTTCCCCCAAGCCAACACTAACTAGTGATTTTGAAATCCTATAAAATGAATCCTTCAAGAAGACAAGTAGAAATTTTCATATTTATAAAACTATTTTATATGAACGAAAGGGATTTTTGGTTCTTGTCATTTTCAAGTTTACTCAGGTGACATTGTTCTTCTCTAGTACAGAGCAGGCTAACATGGACAACTATGGTTGCTTATAACCTGTTTCAATTATAGAATTTGAATTATTCACAAGTGAAATATGGTGACAAGATGCGTACTAAGAAATAACACTCTAACATGACGTGAAGACATGACACATAGTGAGTTAATGAAATTCATAGGTCATCATATCTCAGACCAAAACTTATAACCAAAAGATAAACTAACTTTTCTGATGGAATCCATATATCACTTTGTTAACCAGCTTGATGTGAACTATAAATGTTAATACTACATAGCCTTTTAAAAATTGGACAAGCATGGAGCTTCCACATTTTGCAGGGGGAAATAGCTAAGTCAATCAGACAGCTACAAATCATAGCATCCATAAACCATTTATTATAATAGATTTAACTTTCATCTATTGAACATGCTCTTGTCTAGCTCTTGATTTACCAACCAAAAACAAAAACAGGATCAGTCTGATGATAGTCCTCAGATGTTAAGCTTTAAATTCTGTCTCATTAAACCTGTAATATAATCTTCCCTCATGCTCCATTACATCATATCTAGCTCTTGATTGACATGCTACATATTTTATACCTTCTTAATTCTTCAAAGCATAAGCGAATGAAACCAATTTCAAAAAGGAAAGTAGGGAGGCAAGAGGGAGAGCAATGGAAGAACCAGGCTTCATATTGTATTATAAACTGGCCTGACTTGTTCATAATATACCATGACAGGCATGCTATTCGCTTTACTAACTGCTACATGTTGAGGTATGCTATGCAGGGCATTAGGAAACTAAACAACATCATTAAATCCTAAGAATTGATAAGAGTAAATATTCACATAATCCGTATGCATTAACAACTAAATGAGGAAGCACAAAGATATCATATATGCATAGGATAAGATCCATTGACTAGATGGAAACATTATTATTAACTTTGAGAAATTAATTTATGTTCTTTGTACATTCCATAAGATTATGTTCCCGGCTGTATCTCTGGGGGCCCATTGGCTTGCGCAATAGGATATCTAAAACGTAAAGGTCATTACATGAATACCACAAAATAGTGAGGCTACAGTAGCTACAAGCAAGAATGGATTAACTGATGTTTCCAGGAATTAATTAGTAACACAAACCTGAATATGAGAATGGAGAGTTCATGGACTCAGAATAATAAGGATCTTCAGCTAGCTTAGAAACAATTAACTCAAGTGCACGCATTTGCTCATCCAGAGCTCCTATCAGTGTCACTAGCCTATCATTCAATCCATAATAATTATTATCTTGTGGAGAGATCTTAATGCTAGCTTGAGAGTCTTCAATAAACGACCTGCTCAAAAGCATGGAAACATACAAGCTAAGCTTTTCATACCCATCCATAAATCCATAAATGATGTAAATATGCCGAGAAAGGTTGTGCAAAATGAAATTATAACTGGACAAACAAATAACATATCCTATTTTTTCTGGGGAAGTTGGTAGAATATAAAATGGGACACAAAACAAACCCATAGATATAATTGAAAAGAAATAGTCATTCATTCAAAAAAATTCACGACAATAATCTTTTGAACTTGCCTAAGATAAGTTCTAAAAATAATAATAATAATAATAACAATAACAACAACAGAAGATATTTCGTAAACATGAAGTTGAAAAGCAAATAAGCCCCAAAAGTTGGCAAAATAAAAGTTCTCACACCTAATGGTAGCGCCTCCCTTGCCAATTATTCCACCACAAGAGCTGTTAGGGACAATGAGTCTCAATTTTATTTTCGGATCAGCAGTATTCTCGTCTTCAGTATGAAGCTGATGACAAAAGACAAATAAATTCCAGAAGTTTACCAGACATTTTGTCATTTAGTAAATAACTAAATCCACATCATAGAAATTGTGTTCACCTCACTCAGCAACTTAGAAAGAATGAGTTCAACAGCTTTTAGTAACTCATTTATTGCCCCAGAAACCATGATAATCCTGTCTGTAGTCCCAGGAAAGAACTCATGATTGCGTGATAACTGAATTCGTGCTCCAGATTGTGATTGAAAATCAGTGATGGTTGAACCACCCTTTCCAATGACAGAACCAGCTGCAGCATTGGATACAAGAAACCTAACACATGTTGACTTCTCCACGGAATCTGGCAATAGCAAACATAATGCAGAAGTAAAGATTCTTTACAACAGGCGGGTCAAGAATTGCAACTAGGAGGCACCAGCACTATCTAAGCCCCACCGCAAGAAAGAAAGCAGTAAATAAAACAATGCTCCGTCATATCCCTTTACAGAACCATAAACTAAACCAGAAGAAGGAGATCGGATTAGATACCAGGGGAAGGAGAATTAGGCCGTGGCGAAGCAGGTTTCCGAGGACCGGGTCCCTCTGGAGACGACATGTAGGAAGACTCGGTCGACTCCATTAACGTTCAATGTATTTTTCCTTCGTTCTGGAGAAAGAGAGGGAGAAGAACCAAAACATCAGTGAAGGAAAATTAGAGGGGAGAGGACAGCTGCGCGGAAAAAGCAGAAATTCAAAAATTTTACAGGGAATCGCAAGAGTGAAGATGGCGAAGGTGGGAAAGAGGATACCGAAACGAGTGGGAGGGATTGAGACTTGAGGGCAACGCCTACAGGTTCGTTCAGAGGGAGAGAAGAGGGAGAGGGAGTGCTACATATCCAAGTCTGCGGGTGTGCGTGCGTCTGAGCTGGTGGTGGTGTTGGCCTGAGCGTGATTACCGCCTCTCCTGGACTTATTTACTGTTACTGCTCTTCCAACACGTTCCCGCATCTTCTCCATGTTTGCAACACCCGGGACCCTGGTTAAATTGTATTTAACTTTCACAAGTCATTTCGTCATTATACTACACAGCTATTTCTCATTTTGGATCCAGCTAAATTGTAAGGGAGAATGACATCCTGGACTCTATAAAACTATTAATTATAATTAAAAATTTTAAATTATTAAAATTTTAATAATAGATCATGAATCTTATTTAAAATAAAAAATATGAGTTTAAATTTTTTTTTAAGAAAAAAAGACACAACTAATATTATTATTATAGTTTTGGATTAAAATCAATTGTAAAGTTAAACAAGTTGAATTTTAAAAATTGACAACTTATTTATGCATGAACAAATTATATTCACACATTTATATTCACACACACCACACACACACACACACAACACACACACACACACACACACACACATATATTTCATTTAGTATAATATTAATAACCTGTCAATGTTAAAAAAATAAGTTGCTAAAAAAAATAAGTTAAGTTTTAAAAATTGATAATTTTTTTATGCATGAACAAGTCGTGTTCATACATTTATAAATAATTGTTCGGATATAAATAATAATATGTCTATGATCAATCACAGCCCATAAAAATGCTCGGAGAATAAATTTACAACATATATTGATATACATATAGCACAATATTCATTACCTATTCATATTAGAGGAACAAGTTGTTAAAAAACTTGAACAAATTATATTTTAAAAATTAATAACTTTTTTATATATAAAAAAGTTATTTTCACATATTTATAATTGATTGTTTGGATATAAACAACAACATGTCTATGATCTGCCATAACCTTAAAAATTTATAACATATACATACATGATTTAAAATAATATTAATAATCTATCAATATTGAAGACATAAGTTATTGAAAAGATAAATAAGTTGGATTTTAAAATTTTATAACTTTTTTATATATAAACAAGTTATGTTTATATATTTACAAGTGAATGTTCGGATATAAACAACAACATACAACTCATGTTAATACTTAAAAACAAAAATTATAACTTATATATATATATATATATATTGTAATATATTATTAAATTGTTTTGATAGTTCAATAGTAAATTACCTTTTACAACACCAAGGGGCCGAGAGTTTAAATCCTCCCTTAGTCCCTTGGCCTCCTTTGATCAAATTTGATTACTGGCATTGAAGCTCTGGTAATGATAGGTCAAGGATGTTAGCCTACCTGCAGGCGACAAAACTCAAGAGGCTAGTGCAATGGTTTTGATGGTTAGTAGTGGTGAAATTTTTTTTTTAAAACAGAGAGAAGGGCATTTATGACATTTCAGCCAAAAATTGATTGCACCTAGGACCATTGGGCCACCAAAGCAATTTTAAATTCATTTAGGACCTTCATGCATTTAACTTGTTTTTTAAGGCCATAAATGAGATCCTTCCTTAAATCAACTATAAAATAAAGTACATTAAGCGTTATGCATAGTTTCGCTCCCTGAATTTACAAGCACATGATGTGATGGCAATGACACGTTGTTAAAGATTCCTTGAATTTATTATTGCCTGCGTGAAACGAAGTAAGTCAATTTTGATTGTTTGATTTTTGAACAAATGTACAACTTTTAATCCTTTTTATTTTTACGAACATATATGTGCATTATATTGCAAATCAACCTAACTTTAATCAATAAATAGATGGAACTTTCCTCCCTACCCCTTCCCAGGGGAGTAGGGAAATCTCTTTTTCAATCTCTAGCGCTTGACTTTAAAATTAAACAACATTTTTCTTGATCGAGTTGGGTATTAGATGGGGACTTTTAGTTATTTTTAACAATGTCAATTAGTTATCTCCTATTTTGATAATAGCAAAAAGTAAAATAAAAATGTATTCCACAGAAATTGACTTTTGTGAGGGGCTTAAACTCACTTACCACAAAGCATAAAAATAAGCAAATAAAAAAAATAAAAGATAACGGATAATACTAATTGTCGAGAATAATTAAGTGATTTCTCATAATACTATAAACGACCTTATACAAAAAACAAATGGGGAGTGGGGGGGGGGATTGCGTTTCCCTGCGCCTCGCACCAACATTTGTAGGCATGTCAAATTTCTGAATGATGGGGTTAGGCTTATAGGGCAGCCTAACTCCAAAATTTACAATGTGTTGTATAAAATGGCTACAATCTAGGCAAATTATGGACTAATTTGTGTTTAGGGGTCCGGCTTATTAGTGTGTGTTTTGTCCCGCCCAAAAAACAATTTTCCAAAAAAGAGAGAGAAAGCAAACTAAAAGAGAAGGACTAGCCACCAAAATTTTTAGAGAATGATTTTAAAAAACCATTTAAAAAAACCTAGTCTATGGAAATTGAATAAAATTTGGGAGTTAACTAAGCGTGGGAAAATTGTTAGGTATTTTATAGCATTCATTCATGAGAACAGTCACTTTAAATTGACTAAATAAAATTAATATGGCCTCAAATTTAAAAAAAAAGAATAATGAATAAAAAAACTAAAGGAAAAATTTTATTTATTTATAAAGTTAGATTTAACACAGGATAAAAATCTTAAAGCTTACCTACCCTTTAGAGGAATCAAAGTTCACATAATTTAAGAATAAAAATGCGTGTCAATTTATTAATATTTTTTTAAAATGAATTTTTTATTCAAGAAAAATAATTTTATTTTGAGTTGGTATTCTTTTTTTAATTTTAAAAAATGATCTTTTCTTTTTTCTTAAAAAAAATTCAATTTACATTCTTTGCTCTAAAATCTCACATAGTTTATTAATCATTTTTGCTTATGAAAGTTTTAAAAACTTCACACAGAAAACATTTTCATTTTCATAAAAGAAATTCTTTTTTATTTTTATTTTTATTTTTAAAAAATAAGTTCGACTTAGCCTACAAGACAATCTGCATACCTAGATAGGTAGCATCGAACAAACCTAAATAGCTATCTTAGCATTGGAATGGCTCCACCTCCATCTTTTCTCGCGTGGCCAAGTAAACCATACTGATAAAAAAATGGAGAGAAAGCGTGGAAGCAACACAAATGCGCACGTGCATCCATTCAACCATCTTTAACCAATCACACAACGTGATAATAGATGATGCTATTTGGGAAAGAAAATGGAGAAGATCAAACAACACAAGCAAAGATGGAACATATTGAAGAATGATTATATAAGAGACACGGCAAATCAAACAAGGTGAAACTGAAATCTGATTAAAAAAATAAAAAATAAACAAGGTGAAACCAAATGACCCAAATAATTAATTAGATGAATAAATAAGTCCCACTCATTTAGTCTTATCTTTAGCCATCAATATTAAGATTCACATAGGTGAACATATAGGCTTTCATTAAGGCATCTAAGATGATAATGAATGAGATATAAAAGAGAAGTGAGATTAAGAAAATAAAGCACTCACCTTCACTCTATTTGATGCACTCCTGTTCATTTCTAATCACATATTATTACTAGCCGGGATGATGCAAGATAAAAACATCCTTAACCTTTTTAACAAATTCTCTTCTCAAGCTTCCATTTTCATTCTATCATCTCCTCCTTTTTATGGATAAAAATTAGGGCTTTCATCATTAATAATTAAATCCCATCAAATCACAATTCATTATTAATTTTATTTGATTCTCACCATTTCAAATCAAGGCAAAAATTTAGAGATTGAATTTTTATTTGATCTTTCCTGATTAAAGACTCACATTGAGGCATGGATTGTGGAGATTAGATTTTTATTTGACCTTTCCCAATTGAAGATTTAAACTATGGCTTAAATTTGAGGATTTTTCATTATTAATTTTTATTTCTTTTTTTATTATTTTATTAAAAAAGACCTTTTTATTTTTTTATTTTTTTATAAAATAAGGTATTCAAATGTTTGGTTTTGAGTTTGATAAAAAATTATTTGCTAAAAATAAATTATTGTAATGATATATGTGTTTGAATATGTTTTTTTTCAAAAATAAATTCAATAATTTAAAAGTTATTTGCATGATACATAATAAACAATACTCTCAAATGTAAAAAGACATGGATTTTATTTTATGTTATTTTTGTTATATAAAATTTGATTTGTTACAAGAATATATAAACAATATGAAATTTTATATATTAAAATTAGCATCATTAATTTTTTTAGCGTAATGTTATCATAAAAGTTTTAAAAATAGAACAAATTCGCTCTATAATAACATATGACCATTATTAGTTATTAGTTGAAATTTTTGATCAAGGTTAAAAAGCAATTGTATTTGTGCCTTGAAATTTTTTTGAAGAAGCAATTGATATTCCAAACTTTTTATTATCGCAATGTTTTTGGATTATTAATATACAAATTAGGAGAAAAATATAACAACTCATTATTATTGTTAAAAGAGTTAAAGAGCGTTTTGGATCCTTAAGTTTTGCATGAAAGCGCCTTGAATCCTGAATTATTAAAATGTGTAAAATAAACTTTAAACTTTTAAATTTATATCAAATAAAACTTCACTGTTAACCTACCATTAACATCATTATTGTTTACTCAGTGGGGCACAATCGAAATGTTATATGGCAGTTCCTTGCTAATTTGCTATATTTAATAAGTATCACAAACCTAAACTATTATGCAAGTAGCATTTTGTACCGTGAACTTTGAAATTTAAGTAAATTACTCTCACCATTTATATAAAGTGACATTTTTTGTAATATTTTTTAAATGATTGGTATCTCATAGTTTTATATATTTTAGAACTTTGATTTAGTTTTATTTTAAATGATATTTATTTATTTAATGATGAAAACTTAATATTTCATTTGAAAAGATGTTTTATCATATATTGGATGTTTTTCTTACAAAATAGATTATGATTGTGCTTTACCTCTACAGTGGTTGATCATGATGATGCCCTATTTGCTACCTTAATGGACGCCCTCATCACCTCTTCATAGAGATACCATATTGCATTTTCTTCAGCCCTGTGCACGCAAGCTTTGGTTCCATAACTTAATC